CCCCCCCCCCCCCCGAGCTACAAAATGCCTTCAATGTCTCTCGCTTGCTCACTCTCCCCCCAAATCCCCATGCCACAAAATATGTCAGCAATATATTCATTTTTTAAAAAACGATTACTTTTTAATGTCCTTTCGCTGCCTGAGCACTAGGAGGAGAGAGATCTGTTGTTCAGAAATCAGGGGGAAAAGAAGAAGAAGAAGAAAAAATAGCGAGAAAAACACAACATGCCTTTGATGAGAGCTGCAGACACGGCTGTTTTAGGTTTGTTGGCAGAGTGGCTGTTTGTTTCGACCACCCCCTGATCTCCCCCAAAATGTACAGAAAGAAAGGGAAGAATTCGACTCAGCAGGCTTAAGACGCCGCCATCAGCAATTTAGATCCGGAGCCCTGCGCGGTGAGAGCCGGGCTCTTTGCTGGCAACGCAGGTTCCATCTTTTCATGTAGCTCTTTAAATTGGGACAACTCCTGAAGGTGCGGCTGGATTCGCTTCGCGATGGCCCACAGAGAGACACGCTCCTTAAAGGAACAGGCACTATGCCTGCAAGAGAGAGGACTGTAAAGGATGGAGTGATCATCATCCTCACAGATCTGAAAGGCTGCCACATGGAAGCCCGGTTTCATTGGCCCAGGGAGCAGGATGTAAACAGATGGATTTAGACAAGAGGAAAAGGAGATTCTAATTATGTTTTCTAAACTTGAAGGCCGCCTACCAGGCCTGCTTTAGCTGTGGAGTTCCTGCATCCGCAAGGGGTTGGAATAGATGACCTCCAGGTCTCCCTTCTGGCTCTAAAATTCTACCATTTTACAGTGGGAAGGCTTGCCCAAACAGAAAGGGCACAGCCTCCCATGTGCTGGCCTTTGACCTTCGGCCATGCCACCTCCCTTCTTCTCTGCTGAACCTGGAGCTGATAAAATGCCTCCGTAGGACAAAAAGTCTTGCCCGATGATTAATATTCGTTCATTAATGTACATCGTGCTTTCCACGGCAACATTAAGCACACAGACGCAAAGAGGCCGTTTTCCGCCACAAGGAGTTTACGAGCATCTCCAAAAAGATATGCCAGACAAGGAGAAACCAGCCCTGGGCGTAACTTCTCTCTCTCTCTCTCTCTCTCTGTGTGTGTGTGTGTG